ACATCAATATTAAGCTGAAAATTATAATTAACGTTACTATTATTATTAATAAAAACCAGATAATAAACGTACAAAGACAAAAATCAGTGACTGTCCAATACACATGTGCAATGAAAAAAAAATTATATCCACAGACAGTAATAACCAACCTCCTAGACCGAACTTTAAAAGTAGAAACTTCCGCACCCAAAAAAAAATTGATACAACAATGTATCACACTTAACTGTTCGATTTCTCACTGCGTTTCCAGTTATTAGAAAACCACACTTAAGTAACACAAAACACGCGATTCTTGTTTATTCAAATACTAAATTAATGTTTATTTACAAAACAATAACCTTCAAAAAACGCGGGAATAAATGACAGGAGCGATCAATGACAATCACATATGGCCTATAAAAATTATATGGGGCCATAAACAGCTCACAGATAAAAAATAAAAGATTATTTATAATGTCGGTTTGTCGCGTCCGCGCGTCAGTTCGCTTTCTTAAGACTGGTTCGTGCAGTTTCACGTTACCCGTTCGGAAATAGAATACTTATTTGTGACCGTTATACTGGTTAAGATTTGCACTTGAGTATGGGCATTTGTGAGTCACTGGGGGTTGCTAGTATTGCTCTGAAAAATTAGACTAAGGTGACAACGACCTACTTTTTTATTTTCGCTCGGTTTATGAAGGTTATTTCAGTAAAGACTGTTGTTATAGTGATTACAATACTAATATCGCAGAATCTGGTATGTGGTTTTATGGTCTGTTCTGGTGTATAAACACACACAAAAGCAACAATCTCTATTTTGTGTGTGTTCATCTATGACTGTAGAGTCACTTTAAAAGACGATTTCAAACAATTTTTTTTAATGAAATATAGAGAGTTTGAGTTTGATTAAGCTCTACAAGGTTCATGAGCAGCCTATAACAGTCCACTGCTGGACATAGGCATCTCCTTAGAAAGGAAGTTTTGGCCTACTATACCACGCTGGCCAGACGGGTTGATATAGGGTTTGTTGCAAGTTTTCCTTCTCTTTGCAGTGCTGTTGTTCTGCGTAGTTTGCTCCCTGAGTCGGCTCTTACGACACCCACGGGATGAATAGGGGTGGTGACATTCTGTATTCTTAATCCGTCACCACACGGAAGACTGACGACTACAAGGTTCAAACCTGGTCAGTTTATAATTTAGGCAATATTGTTTTCAGTCTAGGTTTTCTTCATATTGTTCTTCATGTACATACATTCAAACCTGTACTAAGTAATGATTATACTTTACTAACTTAGGTCCATTTAATTAACTAAATAACTAACAAAAAAAGAAAAAAATACCTGGCACTTAGGACTTAATTATTTGAAAATTGAGAGTCTTCATTATATATATTTAAGTACAAGTATGTAAAGACCTCATCATCATCATCATTAGCCTGTCGCAGTCCACTGCTGGACATAGGCCTCTCCCATTGCACGCCACTTAGATCGATTTTGGGCTTCTCGCATCTCGTGACCTCGTGATCTTGAAATAATTGACTGCCTGAGTGGTTTATGATCCTGACTGCTTCATCAGTGCTCGTGGATTCGATTCCCACTTAGTACAGAAAGTGTGATGAGCACAATCATTTGATATGTATAAGTATATTTATTGGCAATTAGGTTACCATAACCTTGAAAACATGTAAATATTTTATATATTATGTGTAATTACAATGAATAGAAAATATTTCCTGCATAGTTACTATATTTATGTATTATAAACCTCTTTCTATTTTAAATTTCATTAAAACTTACGTAATCAAGCCGACCGTTCATTAAGATGTCCGAGTGTCACCATGAAGAGTTATTAAAAAAAATAGTTATAAAAAATAAAAAATACCATAAATTTTAGAGTTAAAAAAACGAAAAATGAAATGTCTAAAATGCTGAGATAAATGCTGACATTTAAATGGCTACTTTCTGACATTTAAATGGCTACACACGAATCGAATACGAATCCATTAGAGATAGCAACAAATGATTTAAGACAGTGTTTAACAAGAGGCATTTATATTAATTTTATAACAATAACACGTTATTGATGTCTGACTGCACGGAAGGCGTAGTGGTTTAAGCAGTCACCTCGCAGTTTCTTACTACTTTGAGTGTTGTCGGTTCGATTCCCACATACGGCAACACTTTGTGTGCTCAAAAATTTGTTGTCCTGAGTCTGGATGTTCTTCGAGTCCGTTTCATGTATGTTTCTTAAGCCCCCCGCGTCACAGGATATATATTGTCTTTAAAAAAAGTTTAAAGTTAAAAAAACCATTACGATAAGGACATCAACTGGTTATTACAATAGTAAAACCAGCATTTAGTTTTCCCAAATTTTCCAATTTTGTATCTTTGTAGATACATATAAAAGGTTGACGGGCCTGTTGGTCTAGTGGTTAGTGACCCTGACTGCTAAACCGGCGGTCGTGGGTTCGATTCCCACCCAGGAAAAACATTGTGTGATGAGCACGGTCATTTGTTCTGTCTCTGGGTGTAATTTATCTATAATATGTATGTATCTATACTAATATTATAAAGCTGAAGAGTTTGTTTGTTTGTTTGAACGCGCTAATCTCAGGAACTACTGGTCCGATTTGAATTTTTTTTTTCAGTTTTAGATAGCCCATTTATCGAGGAAGGCTATATATCATCACGCTAAGACCAATATGAGCGGAGCACCAATGAAGAATGTTTCAAAAACGGAGAAAATTAATTACTATTGAGAGACGCAGGCGAAGTTGCGCGGGTCAGCTAGTTTAAAAATATATAAGTATGTTTATCAGCGGTCTGGTTACCATAGTACAGGCTCTGTCTAGTTTGGGATCAGACTAGACAGAGCCTGTACTATGTTCTAGGTCGTGTGAGTGAGTGAAAAAAAAAAAGCAGTCCAGTCCAGCAGTGGACTGATAAAGGCTGTTAATTATCACTGTGACTGACTACTTTATCAACGCAGAGCCTAAACTGGGGATACGAACTTGAAATTTTGCCAACTGATGGTTTTTATGTTGTAAGCACCCACTAAGAAAATCCGTTCTTCTCAATCCCTAAGGGTGGAAAATAAGGGATGAGCGTATGAAGGAATGGAGAAAACCCTTATTCGGCTTATTATAAACATTAAAAAGTTACCGACGAAGTAAGACGACCGGATGGCATAGTGGTTTGTTTAACGGACTGCTATTCCAAAGGTCGCGGGTTCGATTCCCGCTCAAGTCAAACATTTGTGTGCTTGAACATTTAATGTTTGATTTGGTCTGGGTGTTTCTATGTATAATATGTATGTATTTACAAAAAAAAAAGTATATATGTATTTATATCAGTTGTCTAGTACCCATAGTACAAGCTCTGCTTAGTTTGGGACTAGATGGCGTTGTGTGAATGTGGTAGAATAATATAATATAATATTTAATTCTCTATTAATTACTATATAAAATCTCTTTGGACAATCACGTAAACTAGTGATCGACGTAAAGTAAAAATTGATAAAAACGATTGCAAGATAATCAATAAATTATCAATATTAATAATATCAATAAATGACGGTGCCGGCGAAGGCCGCAAAACACTGACAATAACAAAAAACTGTTAGAAAAACTGTCTGGAAAAAAAAAGATTGTCCGTTCAGAAACGAAGAGATAAGAAGCTCTATCTGTAAACTGTTCTCCTTTTTTCCTTTTTTTTTGTTTTTCAAAGACTACTCCCGCATCAGGAATATATCCTGAGTCACGGGGGACTTTACAAACATATATACGTTTCACGTACACAAAGAACACCCAGACTCGGAATAACAATTTGTGAATCACACAAAGTGTCGTCCCATGTGGGGTTTGAACAACACTCGGCGTAGTAGAAAGCGGCGTGGCGACCGCTTAAACCACTACGCCATTTGTGCAGTTACTGTGTACTGTATGTCATCTTTGACTATTCAAAAAATGTGTGGAAGGTTAAAAACACTATTCTTTCAATAGAACTAAGATGGCTGCAATAAAATAACATACCGCCATAATGTATTCATGCTACTGGTTTCAATAACATCGTAAATCACTAACACCAGAATAGCTATATGATTCCTAGAATACCTTTAAACATTGATAACATCATTACATCAGCAGCTTTTAATAGTCCACTGCTGGACATAGGCCTCTCCTTAGAAAGGAGGTTTTGACCTACTATACCACGCTGGTCACACGGGTCTGTATAGGGTTGGTGTCAAGTTTTCCTTCTCTCTGCAGTGGCGTTGTCCTGCGTAGTTTGCTCCCTTAGTCGGCTCTTAAGACACCCACGGGAACTTTATATACTATAAACTTACTATATATACGAAATACTTTATATACCTATACTTTAATATTATAAAGTTGAAAAGTTTTTTGTTTATTTTGTTGAACGTGCTAATCTCAGTAACTGCTGGTTGGAATTTTTTTAGTATTGGATAGTTCATTTATCGAAATAGGCTATAGACTACATCACATCACGCTACCAAAAACGCATGTATGGAAAACGTTGCTAAAACAAGAAAAAAAAATTGCTTTTGAGGGAATCAGACGAATCGGATGAATTGCGCCGGTCAGATAATTAAATAAATTCATTACAGTTCTTGTGTTACAATCTTAACAGAACTCTCCCCTCTTCAAATAATCTTCTTCTATTGCTTCGGCACGAATGGACCGGCTCAGCCGAAGTGATACCACGGCCTCACAGAAAACCGGTGTTAAGCAATTCTTTCGTTGCCTTTCACTGAGTGAGTGAGGTTACCGGATCCCAAATCCCCCCTCCCGCTAACTCGAGGAGGACCCGTCAGCTCGTTTGCCCCCGTATACCATAAAAAAGCAAGGCAGTTCCTTGTTTGAAAACCACTTATTTTTTTAATTAATCTAGTCTATGGTTACTGTAGTCAGAGAGATAGCATTAATCTTATAGATAACGCCTAATCACCCGCCATATTGTCCTCGATCGTTATTTTCTGACTGGTGTTCGATATAAACGATTACAATGTCTGGAGTACAGGTTTCTGACGGCTTTCAGGTATGTTAACTGTTTATTTAATGTTTTTTTATAACATTTTTGCCTCGCACAACCAATCTGTGGAACGGGTTTTCGTCTGTGGTGTTTCCGGACCGATACGACCTTTAAGAAAAGAGCGTACTCCTTCCTAAAAGGCCGACAACGCGTTTGTGACTCCTGAGTTGCAGACGTTCATGGGCGGCAATGGTCACTCTCCGTCAGGTAACCCACATGCTTGTCTACCCCCTATAACATAAAAAGAAACAGAAAACATATATAACCGTCACTTTCTTTAAAAATTACACTCTTTGTTTTTTTTAAGTGAAATCATTTGTGTGGATCTCTGGATGAATAACGTGTATAATTGGACCCGGTAGGTGGAAATTATAAATAGGTATTATTTTAATTGACTGACCAAAGTGTTACTTTTAAAATATATTTTTTCTGTTATTATTAATTATGAGATCAAACAAATTGAAACCCGTGTTTAAGCAGGACCTTTTTTAGTATACCTGATACGATAGTTAATACACAGAGGATAAGCCATTCCCAGAATTGGGATACAATTCAAATTCTTACTATATTTTTATTTACTAGTCTTAGTTTTTATTTACTAGTTTATTAGTCTGCTCTGTTCCTAAAACACGTAGCGTAAGCCTATTTTAATCCTCAAAAAAAATAATCTATCAAATACAAAGAGAATCATTTAAATCTGATTAATAGTTCCAAAGATTATCGTAGTAGTCCGTGTGGTGACGGATTAAGATTACGGAATGCCACCACCCCTATTCATCCCCTGGGTGTCGTAAAAGCCGACTAAGGGAAACTACGCAGGACAACAGCACTGCAAAGAGAAGGAAAACTTGATACCAACCCGTCTGGCCAGCCTGGTATAGTAGGTCAAAACCTCCTTTCTAAGGAGAGGTCTATGTCCAGCAGTGGACTATTAAAGACTGTTGATGTGATGATGATGAAGGATTATCGTGCTTAAATATACAAGAAGTCTTAAGCTTATTTTGTAATATGCGGTAGAAGATATGAGGTACATATAATAGGTCTTTACCTATGAAATTGCCGTTTTGAATAACAGAAATAAAAAAGTTTAAAAAAATAAGTACTTTCACTTATTGCATACAAAACGGCAATTTCATAGGTAAAGACCTAATATAAATAATCGAAGACTATCAAAATATGTTTTATTTACATTTTGCAGATAGTGGATGGAGTTCAAGTTGCGGATAACAGTTTTGGCGGGGTACAAGTCGTAGACAATAATTTTAACGGAGTTCACGTTGTCGATAATAATTATGACGGAGTACAAGTCATAGACAACAATTATGACGGGGTACAAGTCATAGACAACAATTATGACGGGGTACAAGTCATAGACAATAATTATGACGGGGTACAAGTCATAGACAACAATTATGACGGGGTACAAGTCATAGACAACAATTATGACGGGGTTCATGTTGTAGATAATGCTGGTGATGAAGTTCAGGTTGTAGACAATAATTATTATGATGGAGTTCAGGTTGTAGACGATGGTTATAATGGGGTTCAGGTTGTAGATAACAACTTCGGAGTGAATCCTGGAATGCCACGCTCTAAATGAGGCAGGGAGTGTTAGTAAGTGTACAATGTGAGTATATTAAGTCTCTCTCTCTTAGTCATCTTCTTTATTACTGAAGGTCATGTCCTCTCTGACCTGAGCCACCAGCTGTCTCCATAATGCCCGGTTTTTTTAGTTATTGGGAGTTTTATCAGTGTTGACAGTGTTTGATAGGCCTATATTTTTTTGTGAAAAAATGTTTTTTCACAAAAAAAAAATGTGGTGATTTTCTTTCAAAATTGAATGTTTTTTTTTCATACATTCACATAACGCCATCTAGTCCCAAACTAAGCAGAGGTTGTACTATGGGTACTAGAAGACTGATATAAATACATATTTTAAATAGAAACACCCAGACCAAATCAAACGTTAAATGTTCATGTACACAAATGTTTGACTTGAGTGGGAATGGAACCCCCAACCTTTAGCATAGCAGTTCGTTACAGAAACCACTTTGCCATCCGGTCGTCAACCGTCGGTTATTTAAAATGTACAATTAATTAGGTTTTTCTGTTTTTAATTAAATATTAGCTACTGAGTAAATTCGTGCAAGAATTTATTTTTTGTTATTTTTAAATGATGTCATGTGATTTTTTTTAATATTCGAAGGTATCCTGTCAAATTAAAATAGCAATATATGTGTAGGTTATTAATGTAGGTAAAACGTGTAAAATTTGTTTTGTTGAATAAATGTTTCCTTTGGTTTTAAACGAAATCATCTTTTATTTAAGAGCGCTTTATTTTTGTCTTAAATATCAGTTTTTAGTTTATATATTTTTTTATGTAACAGGGGGAAAATTACCACCAGTGCTATTCTCTAATAAAACAGCCTTGCGTATAGTGCTGCCACAGCGTCGAACTTAAAACTAAGTTCGTTTGTAATTCGATGCTACAGTGCTTTTTTTTTGTCATAAAAAAGACAACTCCCGCATTAGGAATATATCACGTCACGGCGGACTTTACAAACATGCATGAAACGGACACAAAGTTTGTGTCCGTTTCATGCATGTTTGTAAAGTCACCCAGACTCGGAACAACAATTTGTGGATCACACAAACTGTCGTCCCATGTGGGGATCGGACCCACTATACTCAACGTAGTAGTGAACAGCGTGGCGACCGCTTAAACCACTACGCCATCCGTGCAGTCAAATTATTACCACGATTATTTTTTTATGTATTTATTTATATAACTACACAATTTGTTAAATGTAGGCAAACCTTAAACCATTGAGGTTTATGCGGCATGCCACAACATCAATTTAGTACATAACAGTTAATAAGTAAATAACATAAGCCATTACAATAATAACATTACTTAATTGTATTAAGTTTAGGGTAGAATACATTGCGGAGCGGGACCGGGAGAGGTTTAGGACTCTCCCGGCCCGCCAGGCCCGGGAACGGTCCAGGTACCGCAGGCGATTTAGGCGCCGGAGGTCGCAGAACGACCTCCGTCCTCCATAAGCGCAGGCCTGGGGGTGATAGGCCATCTGTCACCCTAACAGAAGCAGGCCGGGGTGGCGGCGAGCGCGTTGCGAAGCGCGCTCGCCTCCAGGGAGCACAGGGAACATGGGGTTCCCACACGGGGGGGTCGTCTACTCGTCTGTAGATGACCCGAGGTATGTCGGGGCACCAGGGACTTCCTTTCTAGGGTATACCTGGTTCCCCGGCTATTAATACCCGAGACGGCGTGCGGTTTTAGTCGGTTCGAGTCTGACATGCCACATGGTGGTATCCGAGGGGATTTCCGCAGGGAAAAAAAAAAAAAAAAAAAAGGGTAGAATACAAAAACATAATATTTACGAGCGGGCGGACACTTTTAATCCCAAGCACATAAAGTGAAACAGGTTTCGCACAGGGAATCTACAGGCTGTTCACGAAATGTGTTTTCAATTTTTGTGTTTTGCAGAATTTATATATTTCCATTTCTCTCTCTCTAAGTTGTTCTTTTTTATTAGGAAAGACAATATTTTTTTAAATTCTGGTCTGTAGTTCATAGGTACGATTGAGGTTTATATAATTGGTTTATACCATATCCTATAATTGAGTCGACAAGGGCGTAATAAAGCAAAATCTTTAGCCTGAAAGTTATTCTATTTTTGATAATATTAGGTCTTTACCTATAAAATTGCCGTTTTGTATGCAATAAGTGAAAGTAATTATTTTTCAAACTTTTTTATTTCTGTTATTCGAAGTAATCAGTAATCACCCATGCAATCGACGCATCTTTGCCAACGCAATTGGCAGTTTATTGATGCCCTTCTTGTAAAAATCAGCTAAGCGGGAGGCAACAAACTCTTCAAAGGCATTTTGTACTGCCTCTCGGGAATTGAATTTTTTACCCACTAAAAAGTTGTCTAAATTTTGGAAAAAGTTATGGTCGGTAGGTGCAAGGTCTGGTGGTCACATGGCAATTTCATAGGTATAATTTCATATATAAGACCTATTATATATGTTGGCCAAGAACGCTTTTAACTGATCACAAACTCGGTTGACTTGAGGTAGTCAGTTAAATTTACCATCGAGGATCAGCCCCAGATATGGGTATTCGTCTACTGATTCAATAAAAGGACATTGGCAAATACTACTGTTTTTGTGTAGGCGTAAATGTTCATGAGCCACCAGCCTAGCGCTTTCAGGACATTGAATTTTGCTAAAGGGAGAAGGTATGTGGATTAATTTGGTTTTCTCAGCGTTCAGCACTAGTCCATTGTCATGACACCATTTCCTGATGATATATAGATCTGCTTGCATTTTAGTAAACGCTATAGAAACATCTTTGTCTGCAATGAGTAAACAAGTATCGTCCGCGTACTGATCGGATGTGATAACATTATTCATGTCGTTGACATTTGCAATAAAGTGGAGAGGGCCAAGCACTGATCCCTGTGCTGTTCCTACATCGGCTGTTATGGACTTGCTGTAGCTTTTATTTACGTTGACACAGTAGGTCCTATTTTGAAGATAAGTTTCGCGCCATTTTAGTAGTGCGCCGCGCACATCAGTGTTGCTCAGTTTTTGTATAAGTTTTGCGTGATTTAATGTAGATTGGAACAGGTTGTAGGAATATTTTAGGGAATATTTTAACGAAATCTTGTAGTTTTTAAAGGTTACACGGTTACCAAGGTTTTCGTCGCTTCGTGTAACATAATTCCAAAAAAACTTGAATCTCGAATAAAATTGAAAATTAAATTCGCTTTCAAAACTGACAATAAACACTACTTTTTTATGATATATACGATGTAAACTGGCAGACGGGTCAACTGACGTCTGCAACTGAGTCCCAAGTGCAAAGCTGGCCGCTTATCCCAAAAACACCCGCCCTCCCCCACCTCCCACCTCCCAAATTAGGTAATTACTTGTTGAAATAGACCCATGTACCGTACACACTCACCTTAGTGATATCGCTTATCATATTAGTGATAAACTCCTATCATTTTAACATATAGATGTACTTTTACAAAACGAGTCACTTTACACAAGGACTGTGATAATTACGTGTTGTTTTTTTTTTTCTAAACAAAAATGTGGCGACCAGTCGGTGGACAGGTACGTAATTTTTTATTTGAATTTTTCATAATCATCAACAGCTTTTAGTAGTCTACTGCTGGACATAGGCCTCTCGTTAGAAAGGAGATTTTGACCAACTATACCAGGCTGACCAGACGAGTTGGTATAAGGTTTGTGTCAAGTTTTCCTTCTCTTTGCGGTGCTGTTGTATTGCGTAGTTTGCTCCCATAGTCGGCTCTTACGACACCCAAGGGTGAATAAGGTTTTTTTAACCCTATTAAAGTAAAGTAAGAGAGGCAGGGATGACCTGAATTGCAGTTTTTACTAGTATTATTTTCTAATTAAACATGTCACCACCCCTATTCACCCGTAGGTGTCGTTGTCAAATAATTTGTATTTAATGTTGATTTGAAGATTTAAAAACCATGAATACATTAAATTAGCAATGGACGACTATTATAGAGGTTGTACTTTAAGATATTATATTTAAGAATAAAGGCGAAATAATTTAATTTAAACCTTGGAATCTTCCCTATCGTATATAATTGTAATCATGCTTTAATGAAACTAATCTCTGTCGATTCACTCGCAATGTTTCATCAACAGCCTATAATAGTACACTGCTGGACATAGGCCTCTCGTTAGAAAAGAGATTTTGGCCTACTATACCACGCTGACCAGGCGTGTTGTTATAGGGTTTGTTTCAAGTTTGCCTTCTTTTTGCAGTGCTGTTGTCCTGTGCAGTTTGTTCCCTTAGTCGGCTTTTACGGTGACATTCCGTATTCTTAATCCGTCACCACACGAATACACTATATACCTACACTACATTCTTATTGGGAATATTAGAAAACATCTGGTATGCATGGCCATTAACTGGTGCACATATTAACCATGTCAGATAACACCTAATGTTTATAATACCACGAGATAATGATTATGAAAACATGATTATGCGAGACGATTATACGACAATACTATAACAAAGTTCAGGAAATATTAATAGTCTTGAACAGGTATATAATAACGTGTTTTAAACATGTTTTATAAGTAAATTTATACATTTATATTGCAGATGCATGACCATGGAGGCGGTGTAAACGTGTCAGACCCGTTCGGTGGCGGCGGAGGGGTACAAGTGTCAGATAACTTCGGTGGCGGTGGTGGGGTACAAGTGTCAGACCACTTCGGTGGCGGGGGCGGGGTACAAGTGTCAGACCATTTCGGCGGGGGCGGCGGTGTACATGTGTCAGATCATTTCGGTGGCGGCGGTGGAGTACAAGTGTCAGACCATTTTGGTGGTGGGGACGGGGTACAAGTGTCAGACCATTTCGGTGGCGGGGGCGGAGTACAAGTATCAGACCATTTTGGTGGCGGCGGAGGGGTACAAGTGTCAGACCACTTCGGTGGTGGCGGTGGAGTACAAGTGTCAGACCATTTTGGTGGTGGGGACGGGGTACAAGTGTCAGACCATTTCGGTGGCGGGGGCGGAGTACAAGTATCAGACCATTTTGGTGGCGGCGGAGGGGTACAAGTGTCAGACCACTTCGGTGGTGGCGGTGGGGTACAAGTGGCAGACCACTTCGACAACGGAGGCGGCGTTAATGTGGCACACTGAGTCGGTTTGGGTTTGTTACAATACGATCATGGAGTTAACATAGTTTAAAAAAGAAATGTATGCATAAATAAAATAAGAGAGAGGAAATAAAAGAATGTAGTTTTTATGTACAACTTTTTTTTTTTCAAATGAGATACAGTTTTGTGACGTCATACCTAGATATTGTCGAATAATTTATGTTTAATGTTCATTTGTCCTGTGAGTAAGGTTACCGGAGCTCAAATCCCCCCTCCCGCTGACCCGAGCGGGGGGGACTCCAAGGACAGCAAGTGATAGTTCCTTACCATCAGGTGACACGTCTGCTCGTTTATTTCCTCGTTTAACCATAAAAAAAACATTACGATAAGGAGTTCTTTTTAAATAATTAATTATTTAAAGATAGCTTGGCAGTCGAATTCCGACCGTTTGAAGTTTCTTTATAGTGAAGTAACTACAAAAACAGTCATCTCAGTTTGTACTTATTAAACAGTACTAATTATAATAAATGTGCTCCTTACTTATGATTTTGTAGTTTTCTTTCGTCTCTCAATATACCCCGGACATATGGACCCTGCCAGTATGTTTATCAGCAGTCTGGTTACCATAGTACAGGCTCTGCCTAGTTTGGGATCAGACGGCCGTGTGTGAAATGTGTGAGATATATTATTATTATTGTCAGTACTCACACTCCTTCCGCTAACATTATGAACACGATAGTGTGAATGAACCCAAAATCGTTTTTAATATGTGTTTTAAAATGATTGGTGTGTAAATACCACGCCCGGTGCAAGTCGAAACATGTCAATTTATCCAATCCTGAACCTCAACTGGTGTTTCAAGGTCAAGCAAACATGTATTGCAATGATCCGGCAAATCACTAATACATACTCTTCTTTAATGTCCTGTTTTCCCTGGATGGGAATTCTATAAAATATTTGTATTGGGAACAAGGAAACACCAGGAAATTGTCAAGAAAAGGACAGGGATATAGATAATATGAGAGCTTTTAACAAACTAAATATGAATACTTTTTGTAATAAAAAAATCAGTTACAATACTTAATAACAACATCTGGTGCAATCGTAACAGGTGGTCGGAACCCTAAAAAGTCCAACAACAATATTCCTACAAAACTTCGATGTCGCCTAGCACTGGGGTTGTGGAGGTCTGATCGCAGTCTCTCCACATAAAAAATCGTAGACTAAAAACCGATCTCAACCTGGTTTGGGAAAAAAGGCTTGGAGAAAGAATTCTGTAATGCGATATGAAAGTTCTCGTGCCGATTAGAACAATATTTACAACTTCCCAACATTTCTATCTGTGCCTATTATTTACTATACAGTATCGAATAATTATGTATATACTAAAGGAACACCAGTAAGCAAAGTGGCTTTCTTACATTAAATTCACACAAAACAACCTTAAGAAGTCTTTATTTATAGCCCACCGAATTGGCAAGCTAAAGAGTCAGTGGGCTGGCCAAATTAGCCGCAGAACCGACCTTTAGGGTAAAGGAGATCTTGAGTGGAGACCGCGTCTAGACAAACGTAGATTAGGAAGCCCACAGGCCAGGTGGAAATACGATTTGCCAGATGGCTGGCAGGAGCTGGATGCGAGAAGCCGAGGATCGATCTAAGTGGCGTGCAATTTGAGAGGCCTATGTGCAGCATTGGACTGCGGTAGGAGTTTTGGCTTGCATTGTTAGGGAATGACGGCTGAACAGAAAGGTAATAATCGCCGGATACTTTTCGATTTATGATTGGTTTAGTTCAGTTGTTCACAATAAAGGTCTGCGTTAACAGTTTGTCCAGGTTTCAGCGCTTCAAAGAGAACACTTCAGCGAATACTCCACCAAACACACAGAAATGGGATGATCCAGATTCACTTGAGAGAGTCACTGCCTTTAACGTTTTGGATTTTCATACAAGCCCTATTTTTCGTCTGTAGTGATCAAACGATCAAAAAATGACCAACTGAGAAGCAGACGGTTACCTGATCCTAAATTATTGCGATCGCCTTTGGACCAAATGAAGGAGTCCCAAGTGCGTTGTTTCCCCTTCTCGCCAGAATTAGGCAATTACTAGTACTGCACGGTTGGCGTAGTGGTTTAAGCGGTCGCCACGCCACTTACCAATACGCTGCGTTTTGTGGGTTCAAACCCCGTATGGGACGACACTTTGTGCGATCCACAAATTGTTGTTCTGTGTCTGGGTGTTCTTTGTGTCCGTTTCATGTATGTTTGCAAAGTCCCCCGCGACACAGGATATATTCCTAATTCGGGAGTTGTCTTTTTAAAGGAAAAAGAAGAAAAAAGTTGATATAGAATTATAGACCTATGTATATTGGGCCTTATAGTATAGTGCACACTCACCTTATTGATATCGCTTATCATATTAATGATAAAACCCCTATCATTCTTAACATATAGATGGTTATTCGCAAAACGAATCAGTTCACACAAAGACTGTGATTATTACGTATTGCTTTTTTTCAAACAAAAATGTGGCAACCAATCAGTGGACAGGTGAGTACTTCGTCATCATCACACATCACATCAACAGCCTATAATAGTCCACTGCTGGACATAGGCCTCTCCTTAGAAAGGAGGCTTTGGCCTACTATACCACGCTGGCCAGACGGGTTGGTATAGGGTTTGTTTCAAGTTTTCCTTCTCTTTGCAGTGCTGTTGTCCTGCGTAGTCTGCTCAATTAGTCGGCTGTTACGACACCCACGGGATGAATAGGGGTGGTGACACTCCGTATTATTAATCCGTCACCACACGGATAAGTACTTCTTTTGCTATTTAATTTAGTTTCTTAACTACTGTGACAATAGAACATGAACCGTTTTTAAAATAAGATAATTAACCTTAACTGCAAGTATCATCCACTTCGATACGTCTTCATATGATCAATTGTAATAAATCTATGCCATACAAGAAAACACCGAAGTTTATCCTAAGTGTTCATCCGTGTGGTGCACCTTGCACCTACCAACTATTACTTTTTCCAAAATTTAGAGAACTTTTTAGTGGGTAAAAAATTCAATTCCCGAGAGGCAGTACAAAATGCCTTTGAAAAGTTTGTTGCCTCCCGTCCAGCTGATTTTTAGAAGAAGGGCATCAATAAACTGCCAATGCGTTGGCAAAGATGCGTCGATTGCATGGGTGATTACTTCGAATAACAGAAATAAAAAAGTTTGAAAAAATAAGTGCTTTCACTTATTGCATACAAAACGGCACTTTCATAGCTAAAGACCTATTATATACATATATGATAAATAATAATGGTCCCAATACGCCACCTTGTGTACCACAAGGTAGCGTATTGGATAGCGTATTGGACCCGTAATTCGTGGAGAGGATGTAACTATATTGGTATTTTTGTAACATGTTTTATAAATAAATATTTATATTGCAGATTCAAGACAATGGCGGCGTACAAGTGTCAGACAACCAAGAAGGCGGTGGGGTACAAGTGTCAGACAACTTCGGTGGCGACGGCGGCGTACAAGTGTCAGACAACTTCGGTGGTGACGGCGGCGTACAAGTGTCAGACAACTTCGGTGGCGACGGCGGGGTACAAGTGTCAGACAACTTTGATGACGGAGGCGGCGTAAATGTGGCACACAACTAATAAAGCGGTGTTCATTTGTTAGTATTGTTAGAATTTAATGAAGTTAACATAGTTGAAACTGATTATATACATACATAAAAAAGTGAAGATAGAAAAATGTGTCTTTTTAGAGATCGTGTGGCGGTCGGATTTCTAACGTTATTTGAATTTGTTGTTTTGTTTCATTGGCCAGTTTATCTTGAATTGTTAATGTATAGATTTTTGTACCATTACAGATAAAAACATATACTGGACACCTATAGTTTTATTTTTACAATTATACTTACCACATTTTGTACATATGAACATTAAGTGCGCCGTGGGCCATATTTGTTTGCATAGGGGTAAAAATAAATTTTCTTCAGGTATTAATTTATAGATAGGACTACTGAGGGCTTAGTGCCAGTTGACGTCACATCAACTCGCTCTTGACAGCGCGTTCGGCGTTCCGATTGGTGAAGATGTCATCATCATCAACAGCCTTTAATAGTCCACTGCTGGACATACCCCTCTCCTTAGAAAGTAGATTTTGGCCTACTATACCACGCTGACCAGACGGGTTGGTATAGGGTTTGTGTCAAGTTTTCCTTCTCTTTGCCGCTGTTGTCCTGCATAGTTTTCTCCCTTAGTCGGCTCTTACGATACCCACGGTATGAATAGGTGACACTCTGTATTCTTAATCCGTCACGTCACGGATTTGAGTGCGGGACAGGCGCAGCGCCGAACACAGTCACCTTGATGATCAAGTAGATAGATAGATAGATAACTCTTTATTTGCACACATTTTGCAGGTATTATGGTACCCGTGTGGTGACGGATTAAGAATACAGAGTGTCACCACCCCTATTCATCCCGTGGGTGTCGTAAGAGGCGACTAAGGGAGAAAACTACGCAGGACAACAACACTGCAGAGAGAAGGAAAACTTGAAACAAACCCTATACCAACCCGTCTGGCCAGCGTGGTATAGTAGGGCAAAACCTCCTTTCTAAGGAGAGGCCTATGTCCAGCAGTGGACTAGTATAGGCTGTTGATGATGATGATGATGGTACATAAAAATTTCAGACATGTAATGTACAAAGGGCGGCCTTATTGCTAAGAGCAATCTCTTCCAGGCAACCTTAGGATGGATCAAAATGTTTTGGCGAGACAGTAGTCGTTGAAGGTGCAATGGTAAAATTAATTAGTAGATGTGAAATGCACTCAGACTTTGACCTACTTTGACTAACTTTGACCTCTGACCTGTAAGTTATGTGGATGTTGACGTGTATTTCCAATTGTTTGACCTGCGAATAGGGTAGAACACTCACAACACGATACACGCGCTACATTTCTGTATGAAATACTAGGGCGTGACGTCATACCTAACCATGGTCAAATCATTTAATTTTAAAGTTGATTTGATGATTAAATTGATAATGGCGGATAATTTTATGCTTTATTTTTTTAAGTTACATTAAAGCGAAAGAATGTTTTAAACATAGGATCTATCCTATTGTAGGACCATCAAAACGGTATTATTTGTAACTAGTTGTATCCGCAACTTCGTTCGCGTGGAAATTGAAAAGCGCTGCCTGAGTGGGTTCGATGTCCGGACCGGGCAAAATTTTAAAGGGCTTTTCTGAGATGAAAAATAGCCTTAGTTATTCCTTATGTAGACAGCTACCTGGTAGTAAAGTTATCGAAATCGGTCCAGCCGTTTAGAAGTTTACCCGAACAAACAGACAGACAGACAATTTTTTTTTAACTGGTTTTAGGCATAGGTATCGTGCAAATAATAACCTCCTTTCTAAGGAGAGGCCTATGTCCAGCAGTGGACTAGTATAGGCTGTTGATGATGATGATCGTGCAAATATCCGTATGAGCATGAAAAAAACCTATAGTTTTGACATTGCAAACAGACACTTCAATTTTATTTATTTGCTTGTATTTGTATGTATAGAGTGTAGATAAATGTGAGTTTTACCAATGATTTCGTTATGTCTTTTCATCTCCTATAACATCCCCTGCATGGTGACCTTGCCAGAATTAGGGGTCAAAGGCAATTAGACCTAAAGGTATCATATCCTATTATATATTTATCATATTTTTTATGTTGTCTTATATCTCTCTATCTCAATAGGAAAAAACAGATTCTTTACACAATTAGTTCGTTGTCCGTCTATGTGTCTGTATGAAGATCTCTAGGGGCTGCTTAGGATATCATGTCATTATAAAAATCAAATACCGTTATGTGTGTGGTTCCTGAGGCTCTAAGTAATATGTTTTTAAGCCAAGGCCGACAGAAGGTACTATATGTTGACCAATTTTAACACTACATATGTAAAAATCCTGTAGAAACTTATCGAGAGACGATGTCTCATAGTACAAGTAAAAGAATAATAAATAATAAACTTTAAACAAAGTAAAACCGACTTCAATTCTACATTATTATTATCATCACCATCCACAGCCTTTAATAGTCCACTGCTGGACATAGGCCTCTCCTCAGAAAGGAGGTTTTGACCCAATATACCGCGCTGCCCAGGCTGGTCAGTATTGTTTTTTTTTTTTTGTTAAGTATCTTCTCTTTGCAGTACTGTTGTCCTGCGTAGTTTGCTCCTTTAGTTACGACACCCACGGGATGAATAGGGGCGGTGACACTCCGTATTCATAATCCTACATATAGATGTGACTCAAATTGACAGCAATATTGGAAGTCGAAGTGCCATTTAATTTTTTTTTATCTTTAATTTATAAACCTTAAGCAATACTCTTTACAAAAAATCTAAGAATTATTTTTTCATTATCTAATCTAATCTAAATTGAATACAATCTCATAAAAATCGTTTTCATAATCTTATCTTTCTAAGCGTATTGTGAAAATTGTGGAAGTTTTGTAAAAACTTGTTAAGTTATATATAAGTTACCAGCTGTATCCTGAAATGCTTGGCTGTGGCATATCGTGATAGCATTGATTAAAATTGAGGAACTAAACTGACATGCAAAATTGATAAAAACCAACATTCAAGCGGGTATTAGGCACAATTTCAGCAATTTCTATAAAAAATCTTAAAAGTCCAATATCTTGAAAATGGTTAGCTTTGGGATATGGTATTTCATAGTGAAATCTATCAGCAATGATGGCAACTATAACCCCATAAAGTGGCTAGGTCGATTTAACCAGTAACCCTGAATAATTAATTAATTAATTAATTGTTAATTAATTAATTATTATTATTAGTAATTTTTTTGTTTATTTACAAACTAGTGGTGTGCCGGATCCGTATCCCAGGATATCCGAAAGTGAAAAAATATTTGTATCCGTATAATGTATAATAATTATTTAAATACGTCAAACTTAATTTGTGTACGCTGTTAACAATAGTTTAGTGGTAAGTGATCGTCACTTGTGTGCCAGAGGTAGTGGGCTTCATTCCGACCCCAGGACCACTTGTTAAGTGATGAGCGTGATAATTTATTTTCTAGGGTATACCTGGTTCCCGGCCACTAGTACCTGGAGACGGCCTGCGGTTTTTAATTCGACATAACCAGCCCACTGGTGGGTGTGAACAACAGTGGCACTCCGGAAATGCCGACAGAAGTGAAAACTTGAAAATTAAAAAAAAAAGATTATAAAAGACAAACCTTGTTTTTCAATTCGAAAAGTTCCGACATGAATAAACTCAAACTCAAACTCTCTTTATTACATAAAAAAATTAAAATTGTTTGAAATCATCTTTTATGTAGACTCTAAAGTCATAGATCAACACACAAAAAAGGAAACAATCTCTGTTTTGTCAAATGGTAAGCAAATAAATTTAACAAAAATCAAACCCATACAAAATCTATGATATGCCTGTGCCGATCTACAACCAATCCAAGGGGTTGAGCCTTATAAGAAGAAAGGGCAAACAAACTCATGGCAATATATATCTATGTTGAACGTATATACACAATATATGTTTATATTATACATATGTAGTTATATTATCAATGTATTTCAACCCAATGTCAACTCTCGTGTAAACGGGGCCAATATATGTAGATACTTATAGACAGAGGTGTCGGTAACGGTAACAGTGTCGCAAGTTCAAAGTTTCTTAAGTCTCAAAAAAATACATTCTTTTGTTTGTTTTTCAAAAATGCCCAACGCTAATTTTTTTCTAATTAAACGCGAAGTTTTCACTTCAAAAACAGGGTGTTATTTATCTACATCATGTATGAGTTGTGACAGAAGTCTTGTTACATTAGTACAGGCTCTGACCAGTTCCGGATCTAAGATCATGCGAGACATATCTCAAGTTTAAATATATATTTTTTTACATTTCCTTGTTTACGTAGGAACATTACATACATATATATTTTACATAGTCCGTGTGGTGACGGATTAAGAATACAGAGTGTCACCACCCCTATTCATCCCGTGGCTGTCGTAAGAGTTAAGAGTTGGGAGAGAGGAAGATAACACAACCACATATACTACTACCTACCTACCTAACTACAGAATATTTTGTTTCTAATTAATATAGTGGGATATCCGTGTGATGACGGACTAAGAATACAGTGTCACTACCCCTATTCATCCCGTGGGTATCGTAAGAGCCGACTAAGGGAGTAAACTACGCAGGAAAACAGCACTGAAAAGAGAAGGAAAACTTGAAACAATCCGTTTCAAACCTAAAACATACGTATAATATCATGTGTCTGTATGTTTTCTTGTTTATTATCATAAACTTAGTAGTTTAAGTTTTTTAATAGCATGAGGAGAGAATATTGTCCGTGTGGTGACGGATTAAGAATACGGAGTGTCACCACCCCTATTCATCCCATGGGTGTCGTAAGAGACGACTAAGGGAGCAAACTACTCAGGACAACAGCAAGACCACACAACAGACACAAACCACCAACCCGTCTAGCCAGCGTGGTACAGTAGGCCAAAACCTCCTTTCTAAGGAGAGGTCTATGTTCAGCAGTGGACTATTAAAGGCTGATGATGTGATGATGATGTGTTTACGTACATTCTTCATTTAACATTTATATC